TGTTTGTTTTCTCTAAGAGGCCCATCAACATGTTTATAGATGACGCTGGTTTGTTTATATCATCTATAGACGATGCCGACGATTAGGACATCTTCAATTTATCATATCTTTGTAAGATTTGGGTTGTCCACATCTGGATTCGATCCTATGACAACCTTGTTGTGAAGTTACACAGTGAATAGAAGCGGAAGGCGTTTAACCTCATACCTTTCTGCCCTAATGGGTCTAATAAAGACGAGCATTACGATATACAATGTTATATGACGGACATTTTGCCTGGACAGCGGCGTTTTCTATGGTGGATGTTAGCGGCCATTCAAATGTCATCTAAATCGACAAGTCGACAAAATCAACCCGCCAACACGACAAAATAACCCGACGATCGTCGCCTTCATTTCGTCGACTTGTCGGGTCAATTCTGTCGACTTGTCGGGTTGTGAATAAGCCGAAGGCGACAAGTCGACATGTCGACAGAATTGACCCGACAAGTCGACGAAATGAAGGTGACGATCGTCGGGTTATTTTGTCGTGTTGGCGGGTTGATTTTGTCGAGTTGTCACCTTCGACTTATTCACAAACAGACAAGTCGACAAGTCGACAAAATACAATTAGTCAAATTCCACCTGACAAAGGGTTCGTTTACGTGCAATCCAATATGAACACGGAATTTCGTTTTTTTTCAGTAAGTGACTATCAGTAAGTGACCACAAAATAAGCCGAAAATTAGTATTAGTAATATTACTGAGAAAAGAAAAATGGTTTTACGAAGCTCCAATTCAACTTCCGGTTAAATCAAGACACTTCTCCACGGCAACTGCCGAACTGTGAACAAATCAAGCAGGGTCATGGCTTACTAAAAGAACCCCTATTCGCAAAGATCAAGTTCCCATCTAAATCATAACACACAAACTGGGCGAACAATTAATAAGTTTATTATCTAAATACAAAGACTATTTAATTCATATAATTAATCAAATATATACATAAATCACTAATGACGATTTAAAACACATATTATTTCCTATACATATATAAAACACACGGCGATATAATATTAATAAATCTGTTTCTATATATCTTAGTTTTAAAATACACAGCTAACTACAACACAGGGCTATATGTATATTGTTTGGTAAGAATTGGTTGCGACATAAAAGAATGTAGTGTACCAAATTATTAAAATGACAATTGGTCAAAATGCTGCAAAAACAGAATGGCATAAAATTAATGCGCTAAGATAGCATTAGCATTTTTAGCATTCATAAAATACAAGTATTACTTTCATGATGTACAATAAATAAGATGCAATTTTAGTTAAATACAGCATAATTTAAGCATTTGTAATTTAGAACATGTGATGAAATTTAATATACGATATTTACACGATATTTTTGTGTGTTACAACATTATTGTGTGTTATATATTTAGTTAGATAGAGTGTTGGTTTTCTCCAGCGCCCTCCTGGATTTATATTCTTTAGTTTCGAGGTTAGCATTCGTCAAGAAAGATAACACATGAAGGTCAAAGGTAAGCGTAAGTTAACCAATGAAGTTCAATAGTTAACGGTAGTCAAGAACATAAGCCAACATATTCAAGGGTTGACGGTAGTCAAGAACATCAACCAACGAAGTTCAAAGGTTAGCGTTAAGATAATCAGATCGCTTAATAATAGTTCGGGTAAATTCGGACAGTTCACATTAGATCGCTATTGAACTTCCGTGACTTTCCGTAATCTTCCGGAAACCAGGTATTAAGCCAGGAAGGCGTTTCACACACATATACAACAATTTTTAAATACAATGATTTATACATTAGATTTGATAGCAAAAGGTACAAACTGTTATTATGATGGTGGCCTATTTCATCCATATTACATAGTGATATTATATATATCTACATACATTAATACCAATCACAATATACATCATATACAAAAATATAGATTTACATATAATATCTCGTATATATATCTACAAATATGGTACAAAACTCGGATTGATCAGCATTCAATACGAACTTTACGTCTTTAAGAAAATCAACAATTATTAGAAAAAAAAAAAACACAAAAAAAAAAATTCTGAACGTAACTCTTTCTGAAAACAGGACGTCAATGGGGCTGCTATGTGGATCTGTATGCACCGTGTCTACTCTCAAGAAGTTGAAATGTGTAACGCAGAAAGTATTTCAGACTGTCTTACCTGATAAGATATTTGTTTTCAATTATTTTTGAAAATATATGTTTAAAGAGCTTTAAGGCAATTAACCTTCCGTATGCGAGGCTAAACCAGAGCTTTTAGACAATTCACCTTCCATATGTGAGACTAAAAACCAAAGTTTTGAGACAATTGACCTCTCATATGTGAGGCTAATATCAGAGCTATGCCATATGATTGGCAATACTGAACCTAGTTTCACACGCATAATGTATTATACATGAACTTACAAACATGTATATTATAAAACAACTTACCAAAACTTGAATTAATACTGTGGTCCGATCATGTAATGTTTTCGGTATTTACGAGATTCCGAATTGCATATTACGCCAGAATCGCGTTATAAGTCAAATGTTCTACTTGTAAACTCCAACGTCATAAGTCAAAGGTTCTACTTGTAAACTGTAACGTTATAAGTCAAATGTTCTACTAACGTTATAAGTCATGTATTCTGCTTGTAAGTCATGTAACTCTAACGTTATTAGTCATACGTTCTACTTGTAAATTCTATCGTTATAAGTCAAATGGTCTACTTGAAAACTCTAACGTTATAAGTAATATGTTCTACTAGTAAACTCTAACGTTATAAGTCAAATGTTGTGCTGACGTTATAAGTCAAATTTTCTGCTCGTAAACTATAACGTTATAAGTCAAATGTCCTGTTTGTAAACTCTAACGTTATAAGCCAAGTGTTCTGCATGTAAACTCTAAAGTTATAAGTCAAACGTTCTGTTTGTAAACTCTAACGTTATAAGTCAAATTTTCTGTCATAACGTCATAAGTCATATTTATTATGTTCGGTTTCTAAACCCTAACATTATAAGTCATATGTCCTGCTTGTAAACTATAACGTTATAAGTCATAATTATGTTCTGCTTGTAAACTCTAACGTTATAAGACAAATGTCCTTTTTGTAATTATTACAAGTTAAACGAACGACTTATAGCGTGATTCCAGCGCTATTTTCTTTCCGAAAAAACGGTTATCACGATAAGCACGATTGGAGCACACCTTTACACTCAGTATATTAGACAAACATTCAGTTGACTAACAGTAACATTCAATTTCGATTTAATTTCCATAATTATACAAAAGAGAAGTCCAGGGCCCCGTTTCACAAAAACTGCAGATAATATTATTAAAATAGATTTTAACTTAAAATTGTATCTAAAATGCTTAAAATCGTTTAAGACGATTTTAAGGAGATTTGAGATTTTGTGAAACAGGGTCCAGATTAGTGGTATTTATTTGTCCACGTCTCGATTCCAGCCGGTTACCCTTTAACTCAATGTTTGTCTAAGAAAGGATACAGCCGATTTATTACACAACATCTAGAAATATAAAAATACCACTGTCAAGGAAAAGAGGACGAAGCTATGGTTAGGGAAGGTAGGGGTTCACAAACATAGGGAAAAGAGCATCCTTATTATTTGCTACGTACCACACATAGTCACTCTTGGCAGCATTCATAGAACTGTTTGTCCAACAACAACTAAGCCTTTTGATTGGATGCGATCAGAGATGATCGCACTTAAAGACTATTCTTACAGACAATACTAAGGATTATTTACGGTAATGACGGGTTTCCAGCTTGACCCCTAGCTTGACCTTTCTTTAAGTTGGAAACTCGTATTCACGGTAAATACGACATAGATACTAAGGCTTAGTGTATCAAAAACAGTGAAAGAGGTTTCTTTGTTAACATTTGTAAAATTAATATTTAATTTGAACTACTGACCTTCGTAAACTTCTATTCAAACTAACATAAAACGTGTTAAAATTCAAAATGCAATGCAAAAAGGCCATTTTCTTTAAAAATAAAGTAATCTGAAGTGAAGGCAAATCTGTTAGCAACTTGGTGTTGGCATTTTTACTATTTGTTTCAAGACATTGTTGTGGCATACCTTACCAATATTTGAATTATATAAAATTAATGGTTTAACATTCGTGTACTAAAAAAGCTATAACAATTCTAAAGTATAGGAAGTGGCATCAGGTGTTCTTGAAAGAGTGTGCACACCCTGCCTCATGCATGTCATCTGTCACTACTTATAGCTAATGGGTGTAATATTTCAAAAGCTCTAGCTACTTGGCAGAAGGGAATGGCCAGTAGCCCACCTTGAAGTGTACTTCCGGAATGGCCATAATTGAAATGGTAAGGTGACTTCCGGAATCGGCAGTGTCAAAATAGTAAGTGAACTTCCGGAATTGGCATTATCAAAACAGTCCATAGTGCAGTAGCATTTCAAATTATTTTATTTTATTTTACAAAATCTACTCACTTCAGATTACTTTCTTCTAGTGACACTATAAGTTATTTCTTAGATATATAGGCCTAGATAATATAGATACAATATAGGCCTAGATAATATAGATATGATATAGACATAACTAGAATATAGGCCAGATAATATAGATACAATATAGGCCTAGCTAGAATATAGGGGCCTACATTATATAGATACCATATAGGCCTAACTAGAATATAGGGGCCTACATTATATAGATACCATATAGGCCTAACTAGAATATAGGGGCCTACATTATATAGATACCATATAGGCCTAACTAGAATATAGTTGCCTACATTATATAGATACAATATAGGCCTAACTAGAATATGGGGGCCTACATTATATACATACAATATAGGCCTAACTAGAACATAGGCTCAGATACTCTAGATACAATATAGATATAACAACATAAAGGGGAATGTCTGGAAAGATGGCAGTTAGTAAACAAACCACACTGAATTATCAAAATCTTCAAAGCCTTCATTCCAAAGTTTTGTCTTCAAACCAAACCAGCCGCGAAGCCTCAAATCAATTTTTTAAACAAATAAAAATAAAAAAAAAAATAAATAAAGCACACCTATCATAATATTTTTAACTTTACCTTCGATCATGTTGGAAACTTCCAATATGGCGGCTCGTAGATTTATTCTCCTTCGACTGACTATAATTACCGATTGCAAAAAGTGTAGGCTACATACCTTAAAAGGGAGTACCCGACTTCCGCTGCGAAAACACAAAATGTTAGACATACGATTGGTCTGTATTTAATATACCACGGTTTGGGTTAAGAGTCTTCAAAAACTGTCTTTATTTAAGTAACAAAATGTCCTATCACAGTTTTTAGTTCAATGACGATGCATGGAAAACATGTCGATATTTCACTTTATCTAAAAATGGAAATAAAAATCGTCATTTAAGTCTGCAGAAGTCACTATATAATTTGCCGGCAGGTGGCGCCGGAATGTGCTGACAGTGCTACACCGACCATGAGTCGTGCAACAGTCAGGATTTAAATCAGAATCGTCGAACCCTGCTGAATTAGCTGAAAAATAACAAGATGGCGGCCCCTGACTTGGGTGTTCCGGACGACCGTATAACATCCCTGCCCACGCTGGATAACCGGGACTAAATGGTTTAGCCTTTTTTATTTCTCGTCTTCGTTTCAGCACACAGATGGCCACCATGACAAATACACCGGTCGCTGCTAGACTGCCTAATGTGTAGGCCCACAACAGGGTAACAAACCCCGAGTTCTCGAATGTTCTTGCTGGATCAAGGATGGTTGTATTTTGTGGGACTATGGCGATGCTTTCACAATCTCTTCCCATGGGCACCACTTTTGATGATAAAACAATCACACATATTTCAAATTCAATATCGCTTGGAACATTCGCAAATAACTGACGATGTATTTCGGATGTCACAGTTACGTCACGTTCTTCCACAGAATCGTTTATTCGGCGCATGATCACTCGGTAACCACCGATCTCGTGAGTACTGGTGCTGTTCCACGTGACCAATATGACGTTAACCACAGCTGTCTGCAGAGTTACTTCTATTCTTGTGCCCATCATATCAACAGGAAGTAAGGGAGAAGGCACAACCCCCAGAGCCGTGAGACTAAGTGGATTAGCTGCGGAATCGATTTTCCATTCACATGTTTCGTTCTTTGAAATACTGCTACACCCGAAATCCTTCGGTTTCAACAACCTAAAGGGTGTTTGTTTATTTCTGTTCGGCGCGGCGCAAACCCAATCTAAAAGAGAGCGAGAAAAATCAGGATGGTGAAGCTTCAGCCAATGATATAACCAGACCATTTGACAATCGCAAATCAAGGGATTGTTGCTAAGTTGGATGTCACTGAGGTGCGGAAAGCGTTCAAACGTACATTTAGATATAACAGCGATTTTATTGTCGGAGAGGTCAACGGATTCGAGCGAAATCTCGATACCACGAAAAGCTTCATTGGAAATAAGAGAAATTTTGTTTTTAGATAAATCTATCTTTTGCATCCGCTTCGTGTTCAAGAAAGAATCCTTAGGAACACGCTTGATTCGGTTTTCCGAGAGCGTGAGCACTTTCAATGACCGTAGGTTTCCGAGCGCAAGAAGGTCGCCAGTTGTAAGGTTACTGTTTTTGATGCTCAGAATATCAAGTGACTTTTCTAAACCGTGAAAATTAGAAGCGTGGATCTTGCCTCCGAGATTTGTGTTGTCCATAAAAACTGCTTTAATCGAGCCATGTTCTACGAAAGTGTCATTTTCTATTTTACGCAATGGGTTGCCGCTCATTTTGAAGACTTGTAAATATTTCTCGGTCCCCTTCAAAGATCGTTTTCGCAGTCGCTCAATTTTATTTCTCTGTAGATCAAGACTCGCGATTAGCTCAAGCTTCTCGAAACAATCGGTGGGTAAATTAACCAGACTGTTATCAGATAGAATTAGCTCTCGAAGGTTCTTCAAAGGTCTGATTGAATGGAGAGCTTTGTCGTGTATTTTGTTATTGGACAATTGGAGATACTCTAAAGAATATTCCAGATTTTTGAACGCATTCCTATCGATACTCGCTATTTGATTATTCTGTAGATCGATATGTCGAAGGTGGAGCAACTCACTAAATACGTTACTGCCAAGAACCTGCAGTTGATTTTGGGACAGTATGAGTTTACGCAACTCCTTCAATTTGGCCACCTCTCTGAGATGCTGAAAGCGAATGTTGTTGTTGGCCAAGTTCAGGATCTGGAGGTTGACCAATGACGCGATTCCCCCTGGTTCAATATGATTGATGCGGCATGAGATCAGATGTAACTCTACCAGGTGCGTTAAGTCAGCAAAAGTGTTGCTTTCCAGTGTGGGCACTCGACAACCGATGATTCTTAGTACCCGAAGTTTCTTCAGATTGGCGAGGGCTTTAATGGGCAAGGATTGCATGGCGTACACTTGTATGTGAAGCTCCTCTAGCGTATCCTCCAAGCCCATAAACGCCTTCTCGTTGATCACCGTTACAATGTTTTCTGTCAAATCAATCACTTCCACTTTGAGTCCGATGAATGCACCCGCGGGCAAAGAACGGATGCTGTTTTTCTTTAGAGATAACTCCCGAACGCGACCATCGAAAGACAGGAATTTCGGAAGCTCTGTGAGATAAAGGAATCTACAGTTGATGACCAGTTGTCCATTTTTAGGTTCACACGTACAAGGATACGCTGGACAGTAGACGAACCCCTGCTCACGACCTGTACTTAATACCACCAGGTACACGACGATGATCAAAACTAACACTGAATTCATTTTCTGGAATAAAAAGGGGACAGCAATGCATTATTATCGACCAAACAAATGGATAAGTTGTTCAAGTAGAATTTAATAACTAAAATAGAATAACATGTAGTACAATTATATAGGATACCAGTTAACTTAGAGGCTTATTTCTAGCGACGTTTCAACGTAGGGGTTGTCGTCGTTATCAAGCAAATAATGACATTAAATTGTACATTACTATAGGGTTAGACAAAAGTTATAACAACATATAAACGTCTTCTCCTGATAAGGTTGCTGGAAATGCTGGGGATTTTCGATTAATTAAAAACGACGTTTAGATTCATTACTCAATTTATACCAACAAACTCCTATACTCTCATTATTTACATTTTTCAGCATTGGATTTAGTCGTATAATGCGAAATTGCAATCACAGAAACGATATGAAAGAGAATCTGTGTTTTACCCATATTGAGTTAAGCGTGTCTGCGATATCAACTAGAGTCGAAGCGGACGAAGCGAATATAACTTTAAATAGCGGGGCAAATTGAGACGATACCAGATGAGATACAAATATATATATATATATATATGTAATTCACCAAAGACAACACTAAAGAACAACATCAATACTGCATTTACTCACGTGCACCCACAATACATCATTCTGAAAATATCTAAAAACCCAAACCATTAAAGTGATCAACATACAACAACATACACTAGAAGCAATAGTGAACCACCGAGGGTGTCGCAGACATTATAATAATCTAAAGTTCAGTCCCCGCCTTAATACATTGTCAGAGGGAATAGAGCAGACCCCTTCTTAGTATATTATTGTCAGGTGTTCGTAACAGTGTCGTCCTTACTATATTGTCAGATGGTCCTAACAGTGTCGTCCTTACTATATTGTCAGACCATCCTTACTATATTGTCCGATCATCCTTACTATATTGTCAGATCATTCTAACGGACGGTGTCGTCCTTACTATATTATCAGATCACCATAACAATGCCATCCTTACTATATATCCTAACAATGCCGTCCTTACTATATTGTTAGATCCCCCTAACAGCGCCGTCCTTACTATATTTTTGTTAGATGTTTCTAAAAGTGTCGTCCTTCCTATATTGTCAGATGTTTCTAACAGTGCCGTCCTTACTATGTTGTCAGTTCATCCTAACAGTTTCGTCCTTAGTATATTATCAGATCATTCTAACAGTTTCGTCTTTACTATATTGTCAGATCATCCTAATAGTGCCATCCTTATTATAACTGTCAGATGAGCAGCAGTACCAAACACGATCGAGGCAATAGTTAACCTAGAGGGTGGATGGTGAAGAGATTAAAGTAATCGATTGTCGGGAGGATTTCAGCAGTCCCATCTTTCTTGTAGTTATCAAAGTATTCCTTATTATATTGTCAAAGGGCTCAAAGGACAGCACCGTGTCACTAAGGTAATGTCGGTAGGTTACAGTTACTGGGGGATTTATGTCTATCAGTTTTCTTATATTATTGTCACCCAATCAGCGACGAATTCGAAATGTCAGTTGACATTTTTCGAACGGAAGGGGGTAGGGGGTAACTCTCGATCCCCGCAAATAAATCCCAGTCTCGTCTCATGACGGTATTATATATACCATGGACATCGCTACAATGTGAATTTATATAAAACCAAAAACCAAAAATATAACATCCTAGTGATGTGTTTTTGTTTGCTTGTACAGTTCATAGCTACCACAATATAAACATTCACCAGAACACCATTCTATAACAGTTTAAATAAATTCCTGGATAATCCAAGCACCAACCTTTCACCATCAGATAGATTATTAATTACAGTACCTGGATAATAGTTATTACTGTCACTATGACAACCTGTTTACTTTAATACTTGCACTTCCGTTTCAACTACACATTTCTGTTAAATTTCCTACGTTAAAAATTTATATTTATTACATCAAAAATAAAAGAAATGGGCTTTAACGTGTTTCTTTTATACATCAAATGGGCTAATGAGGACGTACAAAAGTCATGCAGTGTTCTATGGGAGACATTTTACATGGGCAGGGGGAAGGGAAACTCTTCTTTCGAGTTCCAACTGTTGACAGAGGTGTATACGGGATCTCGGAGAAATGATCTGTCAGCTGTATAAACCTGATGTAAAAATAGATGCGTGTACCACTTAGCAAAATGTCCTCGGAAACGCCGACGTCCAGGCCCAAAATATCAACAACAGATTAGATCGACCCCTATAAATCTTGGGTAAACAATCTTGAATCCACGCTGAAAGATCATCTATCATTGAAAATCTGGTTTTGTTTTCTAAATAAAATAATCAATCTAAAGAGAAAAATAGGAATGAAGATCTGTGGTTTTAATATTGAAATTGTCTTAAACACCTGCGTATAATCCGCCCAGGTGTGAGGATATTGAAGATGTCATTGATATTTAATAGGAAATATTTGAAAAGTTATGTCTGCACTCACCATCGACATTGGTTATAGAATCAATAAAATTCAGATTCTCGTCAATTGTAAAATATGTGCATGATTGTATTTGTTTAAGTTCTCATTTTAAACTGTCTCCGGACACCTGTTACCACTGTTTGTCGTGTATTTTGTACACGGTGAACAGTCCATTTGCTGATTACACTATTTTGCCTATACTGTTTAAATCGTCAATTAAGTGATCTCCGGTGTAAGTTTAAAATCTTGGATTTCAAACATAATGTTTCATTGAAATTTAATATGTACAATAGTTTATACAAGTTGTGCCTTATTCACAAAACAAATCTAAAATATTTGAAAGACTAAAATATTTCAATATGTTTTTTATTGTACCGACTATAGTAATGATGATCGTGGCTAGGCTTAAAATTCCAAAGCTCACATCTCGGTTCAGAGTTGAGCAATTTGACTGCTGAAATGTTCAACATATCTAATCCCCCATAATGTATCTTTAAGTTTTTGTGTATAAGGTACCAGCGGGTTTGTAGTTTCCCGATTCCCCTTATAGTTTCAATTATCCGAGTATGAAATTATAATAAACATCCGCCATTATGCGGTTGCTGTTTTGTTGTTCTTGTTAGCTACTAGTAACATTTGTGTTTTATAAGATATATCTTTATATAAAATAAAATAAAATAAAATACCTTTCAACATCCATTTGTTCTCTGATATAAAGATTGTTGACTTCAGATTCTGTTTCTTCAAAATCAACTTCTAAAATATACAAACATACATTGATCATTATTATATTCATGGTAACAACAATAACTATATAGGGAACTCTACAATAATGCCTAGAGTTTTAGCCCATCGTGTGGTATGCAAGGGCGGATCCAGGAATTTTTGCAGGAGGGAGTTTGGCAGTTGACAATGTATGATTTCACCATCCTCTCCAAATTACGCAGGCGAACATACACACTGATGAGCTTTTTAATGAGAAATATCCAACACCCCGTTTGACGTCAATTTTTATTATGGATTAATAGGATCATATGGTAATTCATTATCGTTGATGCAAAGCATTAATTGTGATATCACATATCTCAGTATCATTATATCGCGCTTTGAATGCCCTTCCCACCCCATTATCTGATGGTAAAGGTCTGATAAAAGTTGTTTAAAAAAAAATGTAGCTGAGCAGATACCCTCCAAATGATAAGGCAAGCTCAATTTTTCGTCATAGGTCACGAGATATAAACAGGGCTATCCCTGGACCTAGCCCCAATGCTTACCTTAACCCTAACCTACTTTAACCCTCGCCAACAATCACGTGTCCTAACTTTATTTGCATCTCAACGACCTTGACAAAAATTGAGCTGGCCTTAACAAATAGATATACCCCCCCCCCCCGGTTACCCTGACAAGCGACTATCACAGGTGGCGCTGGCTTCAGGTTGACTAGATATATCGCCTGGATGTTTAGAGGTTCAAGAGATTAAAAATCCTTCAAATGGTGAACAGTGAGTTTAAATAGATAAGAAATTTATGAAGTGTTTTGGAGAGAGAGAGAGAGAGAGAGAGAGAGTGAGAGAGAGGGGGGGGGAAATTGAGTTTAACGTCCACTCGACACAAACTGGCTCATTTCGGGACTAACATATGGTTCAACTTTATTTCAATAATTCTCTTGCGCGTAGGGGTCTTTAGCAGTGAGAGGAAACCGGAGGGCCCGGAGAAAACCTAAGAGGTTGGACAGGCGAACCTATTCCTTGTCACATACAACCGGGGAATCGAAACCACGTCAGTTGACTCAATGACAGACCTTAAGATACAGCGCGCGCCTGCTAACCAATCAGACCCCCCCCCCCCCCCGAGGTGTTTTAGAAAAGAACAATAGTATCATATCTCGTGGATGCATCATACTCGTTTATTTCCGTAAATGGCAATTTTGAGATTTTCTCATGACCCACGGCACTGTTACAAACATTCCATTGATTAAATAAAGAGGTATTCACTCTGACGTAAACTTCGCACGTTCTTACTAAATCTAAGTTATGTACGCTTTATTTGCTGGTGTACACTCCGAATGAAACAAACTAATGTTTTCTGAAATTCTGCCTTGAGAACTATTTCGATTTCCCAGTTTGTTCTCACCAAATCAATTTCCTGTAGTCAAATGAAACAAATTAATTAAACGAAAAGTGGAGTTTCAAGAATTCGAACCGTGTACAAATAAACAAGTTCTCCCCCGAGACACCATTTAAAGTTTAAAAAACAACACGTTTAACACAAAAAATCTCACATTTTAACAGGGAATCTTTCAAATTAATTACAGCGTATTTATTCCATGGTGTGTTGGGAATTTGAAGCGCGTCCAGGTGAAGGAGAGTGTTTAACATAGAAACAATGTACCAAATATATATAGTTAACGGCATCGATGACGCAAACCTTTCGCTAGTGTTTGTCCAGGAAATGACGTAATCAATAAGATAATCATTGCAGTTTAGCATCTCAACAAACAGAGGTAATTTTAGATTGTGTGAGATTCTTCCAGACAAAGGGAGATAATTCAAGGTTAGGTGACATTCATCTAGACGAAGAATTAAAATTCCATTAGATGCACTAAGTTAGTGAGTCAGTGTTTTAACTCACTGAACCACCACGACTTCCAAAGAAGACGGAAGAGAGAAGAGATGGGTGGGGGTGGGTGGGGATGTACAAACGAGCGGAGATGAGACCCGTTTGTGAAATCAAATGAAAAATGAAAATGATATGGGGTTTAACGTCCTTCTGTTCTGTACCGACTGGTCTACTGAAGACCTACATACGCCATGCACTGTGCTATGACGGAAATTCTGCCCGGACAAATGCGCGACGGACTACTCTTATTTGGAATGAACCAAAATGAATCTATTATTCAACATTTTATGAAAGGAGTCTTCGTACCGCACTGGTCCCTCCTCTTTTTTCTTAATTCTGCCCAACCCCCCTCACCATTTACTCTCCACCCCATACAAGGTTAATCCAGGCCTGCTTCGTTCTTTATTAGACCAGTTGTAGTAAATGCGTGCGCGTTGTACCAGAAGTTTTGTCATTGAGTCCAGTGGCGTGGTTTCGATTCCCCTCTTGTACGTGACAAGGAGTAGGTCGGGATATCTCTCTCTCTCTCTTTCTCTCTCTCTCTCCTTTGAGCAATAATCCCAACTACATATAAAATGTTCAAAATCACCTGTATTGTTTCACCTGCATTCTTCCATTGCAATCAATATTACAAATCTTACTGGTCCAACACCCAAATTTACAAAGGGAGAAATCATTACATCTTAAACTGAATATCTGCGAAAACAGACATTTTTTTTTTCATTTTAATATTTGAAATGCTTCAACACGGTGCTAAAATAACGTTGCATTGACTTTTCACGTGGAGTTTTACGTTGTTTTTTTTTGTTTTTTTTTGTCGAAATAGCGACAGGAACACCAATCGATATCGATTCGACGAGTTAAGTGTTAAATTTAAAACAAGGGTATGAATATACCACATCCACTAGATGAAGGATGTTAAAGTTTATACGGGGGTCCCCAGTCTAAGTTCGATTCCGGTGTTGGTCGTGAAAGTTTCCTTTGATTTCCAAATGGTGTAGGACGGAGGGACTAACAAGGAACAATGTCTAGTCTTTCGGATCGGACCAAAAATAAAGGTTAGATCCCTTTCATTTACACCTCCATTTTCCAACATGGTTTCCCCTTGTCAGTGATGCAGGACGGAGGGCCTGATAAGGACAGATTCTAGTCGTTCGGATGGGATACACGGAAAAGATTCCTTGGCAGTAGGAATTCAATATAAGAGTAGGCCATAGTGCCGCTGCCCGGGCAAAATTCCTCTCATAGCACACTATATGGCGTATGCCCGTCTTCATTAACCCAGTATAGGAGCAGACCAGTGGCACGTTAAACCCCATTTCAATATAGGAGTAGGCCATAGTGCCGCTGCTAGGGCCAAATTTTCCTCATAGCACACTGTATGCCCATCTTCATTAACCCAGTATAGGAGCAGAACAGTGGGACGTTAAACCCCATTTCATTTGTCATGCACAACTGACAAACCAGTCAGCATTAAATATTTGCCAAATTCTTAATACAATAACATTAAACCTGTTCTAAGATTATTTACATTTTCTAATATGTGTATTTATAATTCTGTTTACATTTGTCTGTGTGGAGTATTAACATAACAGATGTGTTATTAAGGTACAAACAAACAAAATGGCTGGATTTAAATATAATGTCAGGTTAAACAGTTTGGGGACTTTAATCTTTGTTGCTTTCATCTGTTATGATGCCTTTTAACATAATGGTTATAATACTGTTAAACAGAATTGCCATTATGCAATCTCTGCTACTTTCTGTATGATCGAAGGTTGAAATAGACACAGGTGGGGGCGGGGCGGTCGGCATAATGATTATAATACTGTTAAACAGAATTGCCATTATGCAATCTCTGCTACTTTCTGTGTGATCGAAGGTTGAAATAGACACAGGTGGGGGCGGGGCGGTCGGCATAATGATTATAATACTGTTAAACAGAATTGCCATTATGCAATCTCTGCTACTTTCTGTATGATCGAAGTTTGAAATAGACATATAGGGTTGGTTGGCGGAATGGTCTAAAACGTGCGCTTTAGATCATTAGGTCTATCATTAAGTCAAATGGCGTGGTTTTGACTCCTCGCTTGTACATGATAAGGAGTAGGGTGACCTGTCCAACCTCTTTGACTATCTCCAGCCCCCCCCCCCACCTCAAGGGCGAGTTGGGTGGCCGAGTGGTTAGAGTGTGTGGGTTGTATTATGGGGTCTGTCATTGAGTCAACTGGCGTGGTTTCGATTTCCCGGTTGTACGTGACAAGAAGTAGGGTCACCTGTCCAACCTCGTGGGTTTTCTCCGGGTCCTCCGGTTTCCTCCCCCTGCTAAAGATCCCTAAGCGCAAGCGAATGATTGAAATAAAATTGAACCATACGTTAGTCCCGAAATGACCTAGTTTTTGTCGAGTGGACGTTAACCTCTCTCTCTCTCTCTCTCTCTCTCTCTCTCTCTCTTCTTTTAAGTTATAAGTTTAATCTGTATGGGCACAGCGAGGTTAAACTGTTCAAATAGTTCCTTCTTGTTACATGTATACCTGTAAAAAGAACTATGCTATGCTTACAGAGTTATCGACGTACCTGAACGAAATAACATCTATGGCAAGGTTTGGGGGCATTTGTGTGAGCCTTGTCATGTCTACGAAATAACAGATTTTTTTTCAATTTCTCGAATCAAAAAGTGACAGGTTAAAATCGGTATTCAATGAAAGAGAAGCTTGAAATTAAAACACATTCTAGCATGAACGACCAACTTTCTTGTTTGACGAATTCGACATATTTATTTTCAGCCTGAGCATGGAAATTGACAAACCCGAGAAATTAAAACAATGGAGAGAGGAAATAAAAAAAAAACAGAACACACATTAGGTTAAAACAGATGAAACGAAAAAGAGTGAGAAATTATGGATAACAATTGAACATTATTTCTTTGGTGGATGGGTGGTGCGATCGGGGCATGGTAGGCAAGCGGTTCGGAAACTGGACTCGCGACTACAATGGACGTAGAGAGATATTCCGGTATTTTTCCAGCCCGTCCTTCACGTGTCAGGGCTGGCGTCTCTGGGGCTAGCACGGAAAGTTAAATAATCTTTTTGTTGGGTTGTAAACTGTATGTTTGCAAGGTGCGTTGGGTGGAATCA